GAACCAGGTTAGACTCAGATTTATATAAACACTCTGTTTCATAACTCTCCTTCATAAATAGCTTCTGATTTTGTGAATTGATATGACCTTTGAGGGTAAATAAGATTTGGTCTCTCGATAGTAGTACAAATTAGTACGTAGTCAGAATCGCTTATTACGTAGGCATTGCTTGTAGAGATAGAAATTAGGGCAACTAAAAAAGTTAATATAGAATTAAGAGGACGCAATTCGTTTTAAGGGGGTGAGGATGTGAGGACCGTCAATTTTGCTTTTTCTTTAACGGGTGCAAGCATAGCATGTGTCCGGAATTGCTTCAACTACCTATATTATAAATGAAGAGATTAAGCTTAACTTAATAACAACAAATTACTTAGTCCCTAGAATTATTAACATGTCTAATTTCTTGATCATAGATAGACAAGAAAAATATCTGTAGATGAGGCTTATTGATTCAAAGATTTTACTGTAACTAAAATAGATGTCTAAACTTTTTTGACTATTTGCTCACCTAGGTTAATAATGGCTAACCGGCGAGACCTTATTGAGCCTACGCTCACCACACGTATACCTTTCTTTTCTAGATTCCGGGACCAAAATCAGGGTAGAGCGTTTCAAGAGGTCTAGCTTGATCGAGGTTCATTTGTACCTCAAATTATAGAGTTGCAATAGTTTATAAATTTAAAACATTGTACTTTAGGATATTCTGAATAATAGATGTAATATGTTCCATATTTAAAATATTTTTTTTAAGTCAATGCTGTTTACCGAGACCTAGCGAGAGCTAGGCGGGTGCTTTGACTATGATTCTTTTGCTATAAATACGAGGTCTAGTTGGGGCGTTACAATATGTCTCTTCGTTCTCCAAACCCTTCCAAAGCAAGATATTTCGTTAGAATCAATAATAATTGATAGAACCAGAATCAATAACAGTAGATACCAAACAATGAACGAAATAAGGAACCCTTAAATGAGATAAACAGTACAACAGTAAACTAAATAAGGAAAGAGATAGGACAACCCTTAAAACCACCATCATGTCCTTGAAGGAAGTTATCGGATCTGAAACCTTAGGCCGCCGATAAACCCCTTCCATAACAATGTTTTCTTCGGTAAGATCTGAGAGTATCCAAAAAATCAAGAACGATAAGAAGCGTCAAAATCGTAGTCAAATTGCTAAAAAAGTAGATAATTAGACTTAGCCGTAGAATTGAAAAAAGAAAAACACAAAGTTATGAATTTTCTCGATTGCTACTATAAGGGCTTCTACAAATTAAAGGTTCAATTAGAAAGAATGAGACTTGCCATAATTAGATGGCAAAAGATAGAGTTGGCGGACTGACATCAGCGTCGATTGGAGAAGCGAATGCCAGCTCTGTGAGAGCGAGAGATGGAAGGGGGGATGGGGTGCCGAATAAATGGTTATTTGGGTAAGACAGGCTTTTTTCCCCCACGTTTTTTGCCCAAAAATTCCCCCAACCAACCAAAATTAATTCAGCCATGGTACTTTTTCAAAACTAAATTTGAAGTGTTTTTAATTTTAATGAAACTCCTTATATAAATGGGAAAATTAAAAGATTAGCATTTATTGTTGTAGTTTCCCTATTTTACTCGTCCTTATTGTTTATTATTAGTATACGAATTAATCACATGAATATTTAGTTTACATATTATTATTTAGAAAATAATATATCATAAATTTGACTTTTTTGGAATCTAACTAAAAGTATGATTTGTGAATTTAAGAAATATAATTTATTGTAAAATAACTAGACTAAATTTAAGAAATATAATTTATTGTAAAATGACTAAACTAAATTTAAGCCAATTATAAGATGGATGTTTACGTTTTGAAGTCATTTATAATATGAATGCATGGTCAATCGATAGGAAAAACAAATAATTGGCGGGAGCTAGCAGAATAAATTTATCCATGGAATATCCACGGTTATAGGTGTTCACGGGTGATTCCATTGATAATTCCGTGGGTATGTCATAGTTCAGTATAAATGAGACTTTATTCATGTTACTTTTGAGTACTTACCCACAGAATTTTTCAGCTTTAGGTATAGCTCGTCAGTATTCGCCAATTTGTTGTAGTGTACGTTGTAACTTGTAAGTATTAATTGAACTAAACTAGAGACGATAATAACAAGTATGAAACCATCTCAATTAAAATTTAATCTAGTGTTTATATTATATCATTTATCATAAATGAACTAATAAAGCAGTATTTCATGAAGTTTTATGAGATTTGATTCAATCTATATTAGCACCCATTAAACCTACTAATCACCCAGCCATGAACCAGTATTTCTTTAATCACCCAGCCATGAATTTGCTTATGTTATTATAAGGCTAAAATTAAAACTCTCAATTGTCAATGAGTCTACGACACATGATTTGTAAGACAAGATTTACCTCATACCGCTATTTATTATAAGTAGGAGATTACTTATTTATGGTTTCAAGTTAATTGCGATTATGTATATATACTCGTAAATCAGACTATCGATAATGTATTATTTATCCATTAAGATGTATCAATTATCTTCACCGTATTTAATTTTATGGTGTGAATATATATAAACACCTAAAGTAAAAAGTAGTTGTTTTATATGTATAGTCTATGGGGTTAAATCGAAAATTTTAGGGTGTATCAATAGTATTACTGAAAATTTAGATGCCTATATTATTTTTAATGTTATACTAGATTGGGCTATTATATAAAAAGTAATTATTGTTTGCGGGTTAAGCATTTTACTTTGGCCCAAAAATTTTGAACCACTAGTAGCCCAATAATACTCAAACTTCATGGACTAAAAACTAGACCATAAGATGTTAGGTTAGCCCAATTTTATAGAAGATGATTAATTTTATCACATTTGTTTTATTTTATTTAATATTACGCATGACTATTTTTTTCACCTTTTTTTCAATTTCATTTTTTTATGCCAAATAAATATAGTGCTTAAACTTTTATTATTTTATTCTATTTCATTCACTAACTAAATTTTACATTTTTCTTAATTTTATGAATGGAGATAGTTGTGATGTAAATTTAAGGAAAATGTTTAAATCTGAAAAAAACCCAATGACTTTTTACTAAAACCGTAAAAAGAAATTATTGACAACTTTTATGCGTTTTCATCGTCAATAGAAAAAATCATTTATTGAAAACATAATGTCATCATTAAGCAGTCAAATAGTAACGAAACACCAATGTCGTCAAAGTAATTTGTCAATAAGGTTTTGTTAAACTATCGAAAATAGCCTTGACAACACAGTAGTGACGACTTTGCGACGACGTTTAAGGTCTTGTCAATAAAATAAATGTTAGACCACTTAAATTTCCCGTCAATAAATAAAGCTTTTTGTAACGACATGTTCTTCCGTCAAATTTCTGGTCACTGAAAACCCAATTTTCTTGTTGTGTTTCAAATAAAAATTGTAAAACAAGCTAGATTCTTTTCTTAGGACCCCATTATATATTGAGTATAAAATGACATTACCTTGTAAGCCGTGTTATAGTGAAACGTCAGAATTTTTATGTATTTTTTTAAATAATGTTTTACTATTGCAGTATCTTCTAAGTCACAACTAAGTTTTAGGTTAAAAACTCCATACAACTATGATGCTTTTATGCACAGTTTATGAGTTCTATATAGATGGGTGCTTCATTTATTGGAATCATTTATAGAAAAACTTCCCACCTTCAGTTGTATTACTTTGATCTCCTTTCATAGTGACAACGTCATTTAATATGTCTAATAGATTGTTGATGATTTATTTTATTTATTAGTTAGTTAGGAATTTGACAGTCCATGATAGAACCACGAAAATAATACTATAAAGAAGAAACATTCTAACCATTCTTTGGGTTTTTTTTTTCCTAAAAGTAGTTAAGTTCACATTGTGTTTTCGTGTCATTGAATATTAATGGAAAAATTTGAAATGAGTATTTTTTATGCACAATCAAATATACGGTATAAGAAATTAAACAGAAAATCCGATACACATGATAATCGCGCTATCCTTAAAACGGTTTAGCGTCATCACAGGTGTTGTTACATGGACTATCGTCTCCCAAGATACAACAGTGTAGCCCCACGAAGCAACTTCATGTTCCGTTTTCTGTAACTAGACAGAAGTTCAATTTCTACCAACTTTGTAAGGAGATTTTTCTATATTTTAAGTGAACTCTAGTGGGATGGTTTTTCTATATACATATTTAATAAAGAATTAACCTGTTGTGCATACACAATGTCTTGAAATATCAAGATGAAATGTTTTTAATGACTTAAAAGGACATCCAACTGTAGCTGGAAAATTTTTCGTTTAATAGTGATGGAATCAGCACCAGGTTCTCCGGATCACGCACGATGCGGTTAAGAGCAAATTATTACAAAAGATGATTTCTGCGACATAGCACATGTACTGACCTTGACCGGATTTTTTTTGTCCGAATTCAAGTTTCTTATAAACCTTCATGGCTTTTGGAGATTCGATGTGACCATTAATGTATTGTTTGTTTTCCCAATACAATAATATTTAACAATTTCTTAAGAAATCGATACTTCTATTTCAGGGTATCTTCCTGAAATTGCGATCAGGAAAAGGTAAAAAAGAAATACTTGTTGATTGATTGAATCATGAATGCCAATGCAGTTAGTTTGAGAATACGTAATATCATAAAACAAGTATATAGAAGTAAAACTAACGAGCTTTTCCATTCCTTTCGTTTCCTTTTTGTTTGTTTGTTTTTCCCTAGTAGAAAGATGTCTTTCTTTGATCTTTGAACTCAAGCTTAGATCAAGTCCCAAGAGTCACATCCTTTAACGAATGAATTAGGGATGTCCTATTTTCTTCACTGCATTATAATTTCTTACATCTTCCCATCCCTCTTCGCCGAGGTACATCCCCACATGCATGTTTAGTAAAAGTAAATAAAGAAACTACAGCAAATGAGTTCATGAAAGAACTTAAACATTGTTTTTAGTGTCCTCAATCGAAAATGAGGCGGCATAATTGGAAATGGTTGAACGAAATGCACATTAGCATTTCGGCAAATAGCTTAAAAAAGTAAAGATAAATTTTCACTACACTATTTCTTGGATAGGGAATGTATCATCTTTTCCCCAACTGAAGTTGTCAATACGTTGTGAAGGAAAACTAGTATTGCAAACTTTGTATAGTCGATTCCAGGACACATATGGGTGCCTCCACCAAATGGCACGTACGTATAAGGAGCTGGCCCGTCCCCTTCAAACCTTGAAGGATCAAACTTTTTAGGATCTGGAAAATATTCCGGATTCCAATGCGTGACATTGGTGCTCCAATGAATCTGCAAAATTCGTTGGTAATAATTAAAATTTGTATCAAGTGAAACAATTGTTTAACTAAGAAGCTATGTTTATACAGTATAATGATCCCTTCAGCCCGAAATTATTGTCCAATTTGAATTTTTATTTTTAGTACAAATTGAACTAAAAAGTGAAAATCCAAACTGGACAATAATTTTGGAACAAACAGAGTACTAGTTACTGAAGAATTACTTGCCTTCCATCCTCTTGGAATGGTGTATCCTTTGTAGTTGAACTCCATGATCACTTCCTTGAATCCTCCCATTGCCGTGGGTGAAATTCGGAGGGTTTCACATATAACTTTCCATGAATACTTCATCCTCATCATGTCTTCCCATCCTAGCATTTCGTTGGCTTCTTTTGAACTTGCAATTTCTCCTTGCTCTGAAAATGTATCATGCGAGTTACAATGAGATTTTTTTAGTTTGAGATTTTTTTTTTTTTAAAAAAAAAAATCTTGTGACAAAAAGAGACGTGTATTTTGGGCTGTTGAAATAATTATGAACTACTTATTCGTCTTAATATAACATACAAGACTCCAATGGTGGAACATTTACTCAACCTACATTTCCATAAACTTGTATGATGTTCATTGAGTGATATAAAATAGGATTGTGCTTTAACAAACCAAATGAAGATGGAAAACAAAAACAAAAGCAAAGAGAAGACGATTGCAGTACAATATCTTACCTTTCAACACCAAGTGGTATACTTCAGGATACTCTGCAAGGAACTTCAAAACATTGGTAATAGTGTGATATATACCTAAATAGGATGCAATTAGTAAACCTGTTACAAAAGGAGCCATTTCCACTTCATCAAGAATTAATGTTTCTCCATTGACAACATCATCATCATCATCGACTGGTTTAACTGATTGTGTCAAGAAATCCTTTCCAGAACCAAGTATAGCATAAATCTTCTTCTTCTCCCTAATCATTGACTCGAGCTCCTTGAGAACTTTCTTCGATGCTTTAATCGCGCGATGCAAAGAAGTGCCCGGAAAATCAATGGGCAACGAGATGATTCCCCCTAGCATGATCTTGATACCTTCTTCAAGTGCGTCAATCTTTTCTTTATCCTCCGTACCTAAAATCCTGCACGCCGACGCAAATGTATACTTTATTGACATATCTTCATGACATTTCCAATCCTTTTTATTCAGTAGTAGCTTGATTGTGGCATCAAAGGTTCCAATGTACTCTCTAACTGAATCTCCCTTGAGAAAGGATGTGAGGATCTTGCGGAAAGTTTGCGTCTTCTCGGTGTCATAGAGGATCTTATTATTGTTACCAAATAGTTTGTCCACCGAGCTAGGATACCAATGCTTGAACAGATTTCTGGTTGGAGAAAACGAATTTGTTACCTTCGGCGCCAGAAAACACGACCACCGGCTTTCCTAGTAAAGATGTCTTGAAAACCTTGGAGGAATACTTCCGGCACCTTTCTAGGATGAAGTTCTGGAGGACGCCATTTTTGGCTTTTGAGAGAAAATCCAGGGATTCGCCTATAAATGGCCAACCTGTGTTTCCAGGGGGAAATATGATTGGTGACTGAGCATCAATATTTGGTTTGGGAATTTTTGAGTTGGTACTTCTTCTTCTTCTAGTGAGGTATAGATTGGAAAGATGAACAAATAATGCGGAGGAAATCAGAGAGAATAGAAGCAAAACAATGTCTAGGATTGATATTGCTACCATTTTGATTTCCCCTCTTATTTTTCTCTAAACTTTCTCACAAAATTTATTGTTGTGTTTTCTGCAGACGCATTCCAGTTACAGACTTATCTCACAACTCGAGACATTTGACTAGGACATTTTCTCTTTTTCTAGAAAAATACTAATCATTCACAAAATAATTAATAAAAACATAGTGGTGATTAGAAATTGTGTATTCCGCAAATTCCGTAGCTGTTAATTTATGAATCATTTGCACGCAATGCGACTGGAGAAAACGATGACTTGAATCATAAGCGCTCACATCAGTTAAAAAGATCTTTAAAAACAATATACATTTATTTGTGTTGTATATGAATTTCATACGTGAAAGTATAAAAAGGTCCGTCAAACACTGGTATATATAATGTCAAGACTTAAGAGGAAATCAAGTCGTAAAAATAGGGGACAGTTCCCTATATAACTTCCTTCGAATTGCGGGTTCTTAGATAACTAAAGAAGAATTTATAATTGCTGAACAAGTAACCAGGGCATTACGACATTAGCAAATTTTCAAAAAGAATAGCGAATTTTCACAAACTTAACTAGGTTCTGGACCCATGCATTCGCACGGGTACATAATAGACTAATAGAGTATCTTCACATCTAAAACATGAATTGTTTAAAGTGACATGTATTTATATATATATATATATATATAGTTAGATGTACGCTAAATTAGTTATCCATCTGATGTGCACATAATTTATCTATTTTTAATATCACTTTACGTGAGATCTTGTCAATATTTTGAGTACAAATATGCTATTTACGTGCTCATATTCTTTATTTCTAAGAATTATACTCAAATGGAGAAGTTGTTGGAGTTTTGGACTAAAACAAAGATAAAGATCAATTTATAGAAGCAAGATTGAAGATTGGATAATTGATGAAAGAGAAAATACAGCCAAAAACTTGAATTCCAGCATGGGCACATCAATTAAGGACTGAAGTGCAAATATTATGAAATTTTGGGGTCTAATTGTAATTTTGCAAAACATTAGAAGCTAAAATGTGATTTCCGTAACTTGGGCGGCAACTCACATGAAAGAGTCGGTGAAGGCAGCTTCTGTAGGATTTTTGGTGCTGATTTACGCGCATGAATTGAGAGGTTATATAAATATATTATATATATTATTTTTTGGAGAGACCTCCACGCACCTCTTCACCACCGAACCCGTCTCCCCCATCACTCCATTACCACACCTCCATCACCCTTCTGTCTCTCATGCACCCACACCATACATAGCCCATCACTGTACGCACGCATAAGGGAGTGGAGTAACATTAAAGCATTCGGATCAAGCTTCAAGGCTGGGCTTCGACAGCGGAGTTTCTCCTTTCGGGTTCCTTTGTTCCATTGTTTTAATTATTTTTATTTCGAGATGATGTGTAACCAAATATTTAAATATAGAATTTTGGATGTAGCCGCCGTACTATTTTAGTTTGTTTAATTTATTTGATATTGTGACTTTTTTATTAATTAATATTTAGTATTCTTGTTTTTCATCCATGTGAATACCTGATCAATATTTGCAGTAAGATACTAGCTGAAGTAGCGAGAGTGAAAGGCTAGTATTAGTTCGTAGGAGTAATAAACTTAGACAGTAAGCCATGATAGTAGGATCACCGCCTTTGCGACTTGTAATTCCAATGGTCTTAATGTCCTTTTATTAAACCCTATAGTCACGAAAGTAGTCACAGGGTTAGTTTAAGTAAGAGGGTTATGATATGAGTGTGTATAATTCTTAAATTTGTGAATTGTTGTGAGATTAATGAGTGTCTAAAGTCACATATCTATTGATTGAATTAAACTTAGTAGTCGGTTGGTGAATCCTTTGCCCTACGTTTCTTCTATTTAATTAATTAGATTTTAATTATTAGTTTTAGGTTTAGTTTAATTTAAAATCATTATTGTTATTTTTCTTAATATAAATAAGAAATAATTTTAACCTGGTATTTGGTAACCTTCTCTGTGGGATCGACCCTGCTTTCTGCTTTACTAGCAGTATAGTGTTAAATTGGTAATTAATATTTGACTAGTGTGACGACGGCTTGTTAAATTTTACGCCGTTGCCGGGGAAGGCAATAACCAATATCGAAACTAGATTATTTCTTTTATTAATTTAGATTTTTTTTTTGTTTTATTAATTTATTATATTTAATTTTAATTTTATTCTCCTATCTTTCTTGTGTCAATATTTTTGTAGGATTTTTGAGTTATTGTGGAGAATTATAACTATGGATATGGAGAGACTCCGTATTATGGTTATGATTAAAATATGGAGATTACCCTACATATCAAGATGATCCCTACTCTTGGAGCAATTACTTTCATGATGCTTACATGGTTGTGATTATCAGGGATATTCATTTGATGTTGGATACAATTCTGTTTTTTAGAGTCCCCATATGAGTTCTGATATGTTGTCTCGTTTGGAGAGAATTGAAAAATTGCTGATTGACAACAATAAGAATAATGGTTCAACTTTCTATCAAGATGAGTGTTACTACTCAGATGCATCAGTATATCAATTACCACCTCGTCAATCTACTCTTGGGGAGCTTGCAGCCCCTCAACCTACTCTTAGAGAGCTAGCAGCCTTACAGTTATCACCTTGTGAACCCACCCTGAGAGAGATAGCATCTTCACATCAGCAGGAACCTGCACAAAATCAGCTTACTGTTAGAGAGACAGCTGTTCAAGGTTAGCGCAGTGAAAAAGGCCAACAACTTATTGAAGAAGTCAACCAATATAGGCTAAGTGTAGGGTTGCCGGAACTTGATCCTTTATGAAATTTGCTTAAATTGAATAAGAGTAAGGAATTATCAGAAAATGATACATTGGTCCAACCTCCCTTGTCAACGTCTGAAGTTGAGCTTGAATGTGAAGAATTAGAAGAGACTGGAGCGTTTAAAAGTTCAGATATTCCAAGTTCTCCTGATTCTTCTGGAGTATATATTTTAGTGAAGTATGATTCGCTCATTCTGGGAGTTGGTGATACAGATGTGGATCAAGTTGATTTCGATAAGAACAATATTCCTATAGTTTCAAAAGAAGGGTTTCAAGTAGACAAATGTGGCGAGGTTGTCCCTAGTATAAAAGTTTTTGAGGATAATCTGTAAGATGATTCCTTGAAAGACCAAGAAGAGGATTAGTGGTACAAGATTGAATTTGAGAAAGAGGATATCATGGTCCTAGAATGCAAATTTATATTTTCTCATGAAAAGGAGAGCCACTATAAGCGATGCATCAATTTTATTGAACTTGGTTTCTTCTGGTACCAAATGGGTACTCTGACTGTTCAAGCATAGAGCCTGGCTAAAGACTTCAAAACAACGCTTATTGGGAGGCAACCTAAGTTTTATTTTGCTTTATTTTATTTTGCAGATAATTTGATGTTAAGTTTTTTTTGTTCCTGATTATTTGAAAATTTTTGATTTCTAAATTTTCGTGGTTTTTCTTAATCATATGTCTGATATAATTTAGGGTTGTTTTTGTTTTTGTTTGGCAGCTACTCTGGAATAAATGGTGCTTGGATAGTTGCAACAATTTCTTCAACAATTTCAGTTCTCCGCTTCGGATTTCCAAGGTTGTGTCGTT